CTATTTATAGCCTCCAAAACAACCCTTCAAGTAACCTAAAATAATTGTAAAGTTTGTAACTCCCTACTAGATCAATACCATAACCACCACTAACACAAATAAAACTTAAAACACATAAATGAAATGTTTAAAACTGAAAATACAATTAAACATGCTTTAAATCCGAGAATGAAACTCCTCCACCATAAAACCAAGAGTTTGTAACCCTTCAAGAGTGAATGAACTGGAGTTTGAACTACTTTCAAGTACTTTGAAGTCTTGTTCATTTAATGCATCTTGAGTTCAACTTAGACTTCCATTAATGCAACTTGAGTTTGTAGTAAATGAAGTTGGACTTGAACTTGACTTCATTCAATGCCACTTGAGGTTGCCATAAATGACACTAGAGTGCATTTAATGCAACTCCAATTTGTTGTCAACTTGGACATAGGATTCTCCAACAACTTCCTTTAACTCTTTGAAGACTAAGACACTTTGGTTCATATCACAAACTAGCTTGCAATCTTTTTCCCTTACATACTTATTTCTTTTAATGCTGACTATTTCTTCATCCATTGCTTTGATCCAAACTTTTATTGCTATATTATAAAAGTTTGGTTGTTCACAAGCAAACATGACAAAATGTTCTTGCAAATGTTGCATTCTTCTTAGGGGATATTTTTAGCTATCTTAATTTGAAGTAGCTTGAGCTAGTGATTTGAGAGGAGTTGATGGATTGGTGAGCTCAAGTTTTGAGAGTCTGGTTGCCAATTAGGTTGTTGAATATTGTCATAACGTTGAGAAGTTTATAACTATTATTCTCTTATTCCCATGTGGGCATTTCATCTAAGATTACATTGGATTTAAATCTCAATTTAAATTCCACGTTATCAAAGTCTAGTCCTTATATATTAGGCGCTCGAAAAATAAGTGGACTATTTCTTTACAAAATTGTGCTAACTTGATATCAATAATTTCTTCGTCATGGGGTTTAAGCAATAAGTATCCCTTTGATGCATCACTATAGTCAATCAATAAGTATTTAGCAGCTTTTTTTTTTTGTTGAATTTCTCTCCTTCCTAGGAACAATTATAGAAAAAACTACCAAGTGGTCAACAACATGCTTCTTCTTATTTCACATTTCACGC